CCTACTAGACTTGGAGCAGCTTACAGCATATCATGACCAGGAATGCTTCCCCATATTCAGCAATAACATAACTCTAAGGCACAGAAATGAAAACTATTACACTTCTTTTTTTGGAGACATACATTTTGCATGTGATTATGCTCATGTTTTCAATAAAATTGAACTACATCAATTCAGAATATTTTATATTTAAATTTTAATGGACATAATTATGTCTGTTTATGTCTGGGTTGCAAAGGTCCTTAGATTTCTATATTATCAGAATTTTTTTGTTTGTTTGTTTGTTGTTGGTTTGTTGCTAGTTAGTGCTTTGAATAGTAATCTTCCTTACCTCTTACCTATAGGATGCTATTCATGGCAGAGGGATGGTCTACATGGCCTATGGATCTGAATTTGCAAGACGCAACTCTCAGAAATATGGTTACTCCTTATCTGACTGTTTCTCAAAATAATATATTATTCTCAATACAGTATGATACAACCTCTGCTTTTCTTCTGTAACCTTTGCTTTCACTCCTCATCCAGCTGCTTGTACTTAAGAAGTCTAATCTGTGTCAATAAGGATGTTTTGCTTACTTAGTGCTGTTTGTTAAATGTATTGTACTGAAAACCAGGAGATTAGTAATCAATTAATTAACTGTATTTAATTAATGAATAATGACTGGTTATAGTCCCAATATAATAAAATAAAAACAGTAGCAAAAGACTTGTAGATCCCATGTCACAGCCTTAAACTTAGGAAATTAGGAAACCTAAAGCTGCTCTATACAAACCATGTAATATGTTGGAAAAACATTCAAGAAATTCCAATTACCTAACAGGATATTGAAATTCTGCTGGATAACATGCAGACCCATATAAAGTGCTAAACTCTAGTCCAAAGAGAAGTAATAATAACAAATGGTAACATATTAATTCAGTTTAAATTTATAACCTTATAGTATTTTCAGCTGGGTTGATTTTTGTATATACAAGAAAATCTGAAGGGGTCTTCCTGATACTAAGCCATGTTCTTCCTACCTATTAATAAATGAAATGAAGAAATAGTTGATGGCTTATTATTGAATATTTTCATATATTCTGCTCTGTGTAAGGGGTAGTTTTGGGGTAGTTTTTAGTGGAAAATTTTAAAGTGTAAACAATTTCTAAAAAATCAACTTTTGCAATTATGATTTATTTTATTATTAAATTAAATCTTTACTTAGAGGCCCTTTGGCACTTTGTAACATAAAGGACCTACGATTTAGTCCACTTCAAAACTATTTATATCAACAAGGTGTTCCTCTAATAGGGGGCTTTTAGGGAACAGCTCAGCTGCTTTTAAAGAAGACATCTAAAATAAGTCAATCGGTGAGTGCTCATTTACACTGAGTATAAAGGGACTCTAGTCTTGACAAGTTAGAGATACCTACCTTCTGTGTGTCTAAAGCTGGTAAGAAAAGTGCCATTCAAGTCATCTGTTGTTACATGAAAAGCTCCTACCTCCTGCTCCCTACTTTGCCTGGAAAGGGACACTCAGCATGCTGTAGCACACCTGACTTATCCTAAAGATCAGGTGTGCCATGGACACGCATTGTTTTCTTTTCAATGCAGTTTCTGAACTGCATTCATGTGGATATGTTGAAAAGAACAGACCATATTTCTGCCATTAACATATTTACTTTGAAAAATGACTGCAACTCTTAAGTCCACTATCTTTGAGTCCAATCCTGCAGCAATATTTTATTGCATAGTTGCTCTGCTTTGACAAGACTGAACATTTTACTCATATACTGCTCCACCTTTCAATCCCACTACTCTCAGTCTTCTACTTCTTGCGTTTTCTCCCACACTTATTCATCAGGGTCATTTCTTAAAATAGACAAAAACCACTTTTTCATCTAAAAGGGAAAACTTTGCTCTTGCAATTTTATTTACTTTTCTTTACCAAATCCCTTTTCATCTTTTTTCTGCCATTATTGCTTTTTGCTAAAATTTTCTTTTGCTTTCTGTAATCTTCTCTTTCCTCAATTAGATTCTTCCTAAAGACACTTCTTCCAAGAAACTTAGTAACTGAAACCCTCCCTTCTTAGGTGTCTATGTTTTAATATTGACACTGTGCAGTGATGCTGCACCTTCTGATCACCTATTTTATTGCACTGGTGACCAGTTCTTGCTGAGATTGCTAACTGTTCCATCTGACTGATGTGAGGGGCTCACCTGTCTGGTGTTTTACTCTAGATATTCAGTGACTTAATCTGTGAGAGCAGCATGTACAGGAGGATTTTTCAAAAAAAAAAGAAAGGTACAGACTGCACTTGAAGTATCCCTGGCAAGAAATCAAAAAGCATGGTAGCATCCAGAAGAGTTTTTAATCATTCTGAAGAGCATGAAAAGCATTTGCAATGTATTTTTCTTCTTAGCCTTACGGCAGCATGCTTTACCAGGATTGAATATGCCTCAGAAAAGCACCTATGCATACTTCTGTGCTTAAACCATAAAATTTGTTGCGACGGAAATACTGAAACCAGGCTATGACTAAGAATGGGTGAACCCATTCAGGCAAAATAGTATCCAGCTACAATCTTCATTCAGCAGCTAAAGTGAATTGCAAGCATTTTCCTGCTTAATATTTCTTCTCTATTCCGGAAATCTTTTAGCCGCTTATATCCAACTCACATAGGCCCCAGCTCACCCAATTCAATGCACAGTTTGGGCATAGCAGTTCCAGTAGCATCTCTGCTAAATCAGATTAAACTAAATTAGATTAAATTATCCTTACTACTCTTTGCCTTCTGCTCTTTCTTCCTTTATATTTCTTGGCACAGAAAGATTTTTAGATTAGTTGCACCAGTGGCTGCACTGCCTTCCTTCCTGCTAAACTTCCAGTGATTTATTGCTTCTGACATGTACGGTGTACTCTGGAGATTAACTGAATGGAAACCTTCAGATCAGGGGGAAATTTGAAAAGAGCAACAGTAACTTCCAGCAGTGACTTGAGTCCTGCTGCCTGAGCAACAACTTCTGGAGAAAAGCAGCAGACCTCAGGCAAACAAGTGTGGCAGTGCACGTGGCTTGGGCTTGCTGCATGCTCCCAGGCATGCAGCTCTAATGCTCTCAATATCACATTTTCTTTGATTATCAAGGATTTCACTACATTATAGACTTTTTGAAATTAGTTCCTCGGAGCTACAGGGAAGAGACATATTTTTCAAAAAGCTCTGCCTCTGTTAAGGATATCAGACTTCAGAATGAGACAAGTAAAGCTCACAGGTAGAAATCAGTGTAAATTTATCAGTAACTGGAATGTCTCATGGGTGGTAGTTTGAAACTAGCACCTAGAATTACCTCTTTAACGAATATGCTACCAAAGGATTATACCAGAAGCAGGACATGAGGGATGTCTGCATTTATCCTCTCTCCTTCCTTCTCACCTCCCCTGGCAATTTATTTAATTACCAAAACATTAAGGATGATTACAAAACATTCTTAACTGAAGTTACTTTTCAGTGAATAGAGTGGATTTGTAAGATTTAACCTTCTGCTCCCTGATGAGCCCTAAACACAAATGCTCAGATTACATTCCTTGGAGAATAAACGATAGATCTCTTAGAGGTAAACAATTATAAAGATACATGAAAAAAACCCTAAGGCTTCACACTGAAGCCTAATAAAGTAATTATTGAACACTTCCATTCAAAAAAGCTAAATTTTTGTTTGCTGCTTGAGTTACAAGTCTATCATTTAGTCTTGTAACTAAAAGACAAGAGTTTGAAGACAATCAATAAAAATCAAACCAAGTTCCACCTGGAGAAGAAGTTACAGTGAAAATTCTGGAAATTTTAAGTTTTCTGGTTAAATGATAAATTATCTGCTTACTAAGTGTCTCTCCATGTTCACTACAAGACAAACAAATGCTTTTTTACTCTACCAGCATGCCATTTAGAATGTAATTTCTTGGAAAATTACACTATGCAAGAATACATTGATTAAGATGTATTAACAAATACAATCTAAACATTTCATCGTAATGCTATTGGGATATTTCATTAAAATGTGTAACATAAAACATAAGTTGTTTTGCTCACACAGTTTAAGTGTTGAGTTGCTTGAAGGAGAGGTGTTTAACTGTGTCATTTTGATTGTGCCTAAATCTACCACCTCCAGGTAGATGTACTGAAATCCAGACGCAAAAGTTTCCTTCCATGAGAGATCTCTGGGGCAAAATCAACCTAAATGCAACTGACTAGGAACACAAGATTGTAAAAAAAATGCTACATGCTAACTCCATACTAATACCAATACTAACACAAAGTGTTATGAAGTAAAATTTTTAAATGATCATGTAATTTAGCATCCCATATGCTCGAGGCGTCCCTGCTTGAGTGGGGGGGTTGGACTAGATGATCTCTAGAGGTCTCTTCCAGCCTCAACCAGTCTGTGATTCTGTGATCTCAGTCCTGACTTCAAGCTATTATTTCTTTAGAAATAGTAGTGTCTTTTACAAGTATTTTTTTCTTTTAATCTCCTAAATATTAGAGAAACAGAAATAGAATCACAAAAGTTAGCTTTGAAAAATGTCACTTCATTACCTAAATTTTTGTAATGTCAAGACTTTGCTGCTGCATAGCTATAGATATCTACCTCCCAAATAAAAGATCAATCTTCATATCAGTTCTTTCTAGCATATTTCATTGCAGAAAGTTGCTAATGAAGATAATTATGACACCACACACACAATGATAAATAAAGAAAATGGAGGACAAGGACTACTACTTAAAAAAAAAAAGGAGGGGGGATAAACTTGGATTAATAACATGATAATATGATAGAAATTAAAAGACTAAGATGACTCCCAGACTTTTAACAACCACACAACTCAAATTCTCTTTAATAGAATAAAGATGTGAAATTAGATTACTGTTTCAAAATACAATCTTCATTGAGTTTTCATAAATATTAAGTTTAGAGACCCATGATGCTTTCACAGACGAATTTGTGATCATGCTGATCTCTCTTACCTGTTATAGTTGCTTTGTTAATAGATGGTTGGTTACACATTGGTGACCGTCTGACAGGGAAAAGAAAAAAGGTATAAGCCTCATAATCTTGTAGATTACTGAATCCTTGAACAATCTAAAAGAAAAGGCTTTTCCTTGGGAAGATATTTGGGGCTGGAACACACTGTCACAGACAAGAAAACAAGTTCAAATATTTGTTCTAGAGCAAATACCTCTTTAAGGACCAGATATTTCTTTCTAGTAGAGAAGGAAATTCACAGCTGATCCTCAAATCTCTTGGCAGACTGAGAACTCCAGCAGGGGAATATATTAAGAATTTACAAGTTCATTAAAAACCTTAATCATACCTAGCAGTTGTATCTAGCTTGAAGTTTGATCCACATGCGTATTTATTATTATTCTAACGTGTCCATTATAAATTATAATTTATTTTTCTTTTAATTATTTGAATTTATATTTTTCATTAATCTGAGCGTACAGTTTTGCTCATTTAAGAAAGTTGGAAATGGTTGGACTGACAAAGTGACATACAGATGGATGTGCAGCGGCTGCAGGTAGGGACATATGAGGTCTGTATATGCCATCCAAGGTGGCTGGAAATATCCTTCTGTGTCACTGCATATATGTAGGCAGCTATCGTATGTACTTAACTCTTCAGTTACAAACTGCTGTGAGATGAAGTCTCCATGAATACTAATTACTTTTAATTTTTAGTGATGCACATTTTGGGTAAAGTAAATTATTCCATTACAAAAGCTGCCAGTTTAATTAACATTAAGTAGTGCTTAAAGAGCCTTTAACTAATCCCTTTTAAGGGGACAGAATGATCTTTGGCAGCAGATATTTCTGAGGATAATTCTGTAGTTTTATGACAGAAAAAACACATAAACTACCCTAATTGGAATTCTTAAAATTCATAGTTAGTTATTTTAATATAATATATAATAAGACAATAAGTATGTAAGAAATATGCTGTATAGGAAAAGATGCTTCTCCCATAAAACTGTGATTACAAGAAATTTATACTCAATGAAGAGTTTACTCCAATTCCTTGGCAAAATTCTGTAAAAGTTTTCTTAGGCCTTAAAGGCTTACCATTCTATCTTGTATGGAAAAAAAAGTATTATGTTAATAATTGATAATATGATGCTGCAATACGACCGGAGATTGTATTTATTATGTCTTATCTATAATTATGCACTGCTGTGGATATGCAGACTGTCACGTATCTTGGATGAATTAGTCAGAGTTTTAGGTTCACATCATGGGGATAGCTCAAAATGAGTGTAGATGTCCACTCAAGTTAATTTATAAGACTCAGCCTCTTTGCCTAAATGATTGTCTTTGAATGCCCTTTGATGTATGACTAGTTTATTGAAAATCATAGAAGACCCACAAAAAACACTTCAAATTTATGCACAGAAAGAAATACAAGAGCAATTAGTAGGTGATGGGATGTTGTCTCAGCTATCAAGTATAATGGTTTCAAAGGATTAATAAAGTCTTGTTATCGCATGATTTATGCAAGTTGAGTGACCTAGACTGATGTTTGCAACATCTGTTCTCATAATTCTTAAGTTTTAAAGTTTAGAAAGTACCACTGCAAAAAGTTTAGTCTCAGAAAATTGACACTCACTTGCTGGGTGCCCGATCCTGTAAATTGGTTAATGCAGCAAAGTTATTCCGTACAGTACGCAGGCTGGCCAGCACCTGGAAAAGACAAAACGGTCACAGGCTGAATCTCTGCATAGGTAAGACTGATTTTTCCTCACTCCACTTGGTTGGCAGGAGAAGGAAAGAACATTGCAGGACAGCTGTAAAAGGTTTCCAGGATTGGTTTAACATCTGTAGCCTTTGACAATTATTTAACAAGAGTATGTCTGTAATACAGAGACAATGGGTTCTTTTTCTTTTTCCTCATAAACAACTCACTGTTTGTTTAAAGAGCCTTACTTGAAGAGGAGGAAAGTTTTTCACAGAATACTACTTGGCTCTCTAAAATGACCACAAAAGCCTTCATGTTTGGAAGATAATCGCCCATTCAGGCCCATTGCTTCACACAGAAGAAACTATCAGAGAATTTTCCATTTGCAGCCCAGCCCACACAAACCTCAAATGACAACTGGAATGAGACTGTCTGGCTTGGCAGGGAAAACAGAAGTGGCTTCTCTAAGGGGCTGCAGTCCTTTCGGCACTTTGGACAGAAGGCCAAAGGAAGAGGAAGGTATCATACCTGAGCAGATGGGAAGTGCTTGAGTACGGTTGCAAGCTCTGCCCATTACAAAGGTGATACCAGCAAAGTGCTTCCTACCTGAGCCTCCTTCTATGCAAGACAGCAGCTACAGGAGCATCTTCTTGTTACAAGGAGCATATCATAGAATCATAGAATCATAGAATTGTTAAGGTTGGGAAGGACCTCTAGAGGTCATCTAGTCCAACCCCCCTGCACACGCAGGGTCACCTAAAGCACGTGGCACAGGACTGCGTCCAAGCAGGTTTGGAAGATCTCCAGAGAAGGAGACTCCACAACCCCTCATGGCAACCTATTCCAGTGCTCCATCACTCTCACTGTTAAATTTTTCCTTAAGTTCATGAGGAACTTTTGATGTTTCAGTTTGTGGCCATTTCCTCTAGTTCTGTTGGTGGTCATCACTGAAAAAAGGTCAGCCCCATCCTCTTCACTTCTTCCCTTGAGGTACTTACAGACACTGATCAGATCCCTGCTCAGCCTTCTCTTCTCCAGGCTGAACAGGCCCAGCTCCCTCAGCCTCTCCTCGTAGGGCAGATGTTCCAGGCCCCTGATCATCCTTGTAGCCCGGCGCTGGACTCTCTCCAGCAGCTCCACATCCCTCTTGTCCTGTGGAGCCCAGAACCGGACACAATACTCCAGATGTGGCCTCACCAGAGCTGAGTAGAGGGGCAGGACCACCTCCCTTGACCTGCTGGCAACACTCCTCCTGATGCAGGCCAGGATGCCATTGACCCCTTGGGGTTTTTCACCGCCCAGTTGTCCAGTCTGTCCAGGTCCCTCTGGATGGCAGCGCAGCCCTCTGGGGTATCAGCTACTCCTCCCAGTTTGGTATCATCAGCAAACTTGCTGAGGGAGCACTCTGTGCCTTCATTCAGGTCATTGATGAATAAATTAAACAGGACTGGACCAAGGACTGACCCCTGGGGGACACCACTATCTACAGGCCTCCAACTAGACTCTGCATCACTGATCACCACCCTCTGGTGGTGCACTCTCCACTGATGGAGGCTGGATAAATACATCAAATTTTGTATCATGTAAGGATAATATGATACATCTCTGTGACTGGAGAGCAGCAGTTCAGCTGGGTTACAGCTTTAATTAATTAATTAATTAGAACTTTAGAATCATTAATTAATTAGAACTTGACGGGTGATGAGAGGAAGCAGCAAAATTAGCTGCTGTTGTGTCCCCATGGTAGTTACTTATGGTTGTTCCTCAGCCTGGGGTGATCTGGTTCCCTAGTGACCCCACACAAGGAATTTACAAACTAGTAAAGCTGGGAGTGGGATTTGGGGCTCCTGAGGTCTGAGGCAAGGAGGATGAAGTCCTTTCTCCACAGTCCCTCACATTTATATGTGAGAGGATTAGGAGTCTGGAGACAAATGAGGACTTGAAAAAAATTTATAACAGATAGAAATTACTCAGGATATAGAGGATTAGCAGTGTCCAAATTATTGCGGGTAATTCCCAGATGGGTTAAGATAACAAACTGCATTGCATAATTAGGGAATACTCATTTCATAATGTTTTTCTTCACAAAGAAAAGGAGGCAAACTCATATATTTTACATTCAGCATTGAATAAAAGTAATTACATATGCTATCAAATTTGCATTCCCAGATACTGTGATACTAACAAATACTGTAACTAGATGATTGATATCAATTTATATAAGAGCAATTATGAGTGAATTAAAATACTCAATCCTTTTTGATGTTAAAAAACTATATTTGGTTCTTAAATTTCAAACCATTCAGACTCTATTAATTTGAAAAGTAAAATTCTAAGAATTACAGCACCTGGTTTATATTGTAATACAGGGAAGTGCAACTAAGAATATCTTTGTGACAGATTTTTACTGAGTTTGCTGAACCCTATTTCTGAGAAAAATAGCAAGCCATCTTGCCTGTTTGGGGCCAGATGCTGTATGGGGGATACAGCATCCCATGCTGCCTCTAGCAACATAGGATGCAACTGGGCTACCATGGTGATATGCTGATATATTGAACAGTAATTGAAATGTTAAGAAATGAATTACTACCACCAGGTGGCTCACAGTTAAATGGAACAAGCCTCCTGCGTGACTGAAGAAAACAAAGAGTTTTGAAAAAAACAGAATGTGTTCCACATGCCATGAGCTAATATCACTGGGAAGTCCCAAATTGGTTAAAGCTGTGCCTTAGCTTGTTTGCAAAAGAAAAAGAACCTTCAGAATGAGATACTGCTCTTACTAAGAAGACATTAAAAGGGTAGTTTGTATGATGTACATTTGGGATTTGATTTTGGAGGTCCTCTGCTAAGGTAACTCTGAGGAATGGGCCTGGTGCTTATCTGGAGTTGGAGATGGTGAACAGGCTACAAAAGGAAATGGGATTTTGCTTATCCTAATCATTTTTAGAGAAGGGCTAATTTTTTTTAAGAACATAATCAGATGTCACTTCCCCCAGTTAGGCACCTCCCTAATCTCTCAACTGCATTTCAGCTGGTATTTTGTAAAACCCAGAAGCTGAATGGAAAAATCAAATTAATAGATTTGAGTTTGCGAGGAGCTTAAGCACTCTCTATAAAACATATTTATTATTAAAATCATCTTGAATTGAATAGGTAAAAGATGTCCAGAAGGAGACTCCATGATTATAAAGAGCAACATAGCATTAGAAAACACAGATTTGGTTTCACAGTAGCAGTATGCCTGCTACTGTACTTCAAAGCAGACTAGTCTCAAGATGCTGTTGCTTTTGCAATTTTTCAGATAATCAAGGGGCAACAATGACAGTAGAGATATAGGTAACAGAGTGGAAAGACTTTTGTATAGACTTTTTTGTCCTGCTTATAGCATGCATGTATACTAACAACAGCGGAAAACAATTGATTTGGCCTTTCGGGCCTTTAAATCGCAAGACCATGAGAGAAATATGGCAAAATTGTGCCTACCTGAGCAAATGGTGTCACAATCAAGTCATCTCCATGTCTGAAAAAAGGAGGAATGTTGCAAGTTAGATATGACTGAAAACTTCTATTACTGCTGCTGCTTGAATTAGAAGTAAAATTAGGTTTTATAATTCATTGTAGTTAAGTCCAGTTTTCCCTTCAACAGTTACTCACTACAGCTGCTGTAAAGATTTTTTGTTGAAAAGTAAAGCTTGAGGTCCTAGCTGTGCAATGGCCCAACGAGTCCCTGGGATGACTGATGAACAAGACAGTTTCTACAGTGCCTGCTGGAGAGGTGGACCAACAGGACAGACGGACCAACAGGACAGACCTGTGGAGATTTCATCCCCAAGGCTCCCTCTCTCCTTTTCTTTTTAGCTTGTCCAGAATTAACTGGAACACCTTTAGCATAAGAAGTAATCAGGTTTGCCTTAAAGGTTGGAAGGATCCAGAATTATTTTCAATGGCAGAACCTGGTGCGGCTCATAGATGTCAGGACTGCTAGGAGATCACCTGCAAGCACAGGACAGGCTGGTAACTATGACTGGGCCGTGCATCACAGACTAATAAAAACCTAGTAAAACTTTAAATCTGACTCACACGCGTAGTTATGGGGCACGCAGTGAGTGCTGTTGCTGCGGCAACGTCACCCACAGCACCTGGGTGACGTCGGATCCAGCTGCTTGGGCGACCTGCTCAGTGGAGAAGGGAGGAAGGGGAAGAGGGGCTTCAGCTCTGCTGCTCTCAAATACTCGTAAGAATAAATTGGTTTATATCATGAAATTATTCCCACTCACCTCATGAATAAAATATGAAAATTACACACAAAGGAGCACGTGTAGTCACAGCTTGTGCTGAATGAACTTTGAACAACCCCGGGAGAAAGGAAGGGAGACTGAAGAACACATAGCTATGCATTCTCCCCGAAATGTTCATGAAACAGTGACTGCCAATAACGTGCCCGTATGGGGAATGCCCATAACAGATACGCAGAGTCTGACAAGCTGTCACTTCCAACAGTTTTCAGAAAATATGATCTAAATATAAATAGACTGAGCTGCTACTGAGTTTACGAATAACACAGACGGCACTGAGCATACAAAAGGAAGTCTTTCTCAGAGACTTGCAGGAGACCATGGGAGCAAGCAAAAGTTTGACAGTTTTCACTTATCACTGACAATAATCAAAATACAACAATTAGACAATGAGCAAAATTCCCCAAACCAAAACCTACTATGACTTCATTCTCTTATGTTTTTCTGCAGTGGGTTTACCATGATGAGCTTTCACAGTTGAAATAATTAACCAGAAATTACCATTGTTTTTGAGCTATTTTCATATTCTTCGAAGTTTTAAGCAAAAAGAATGAATGTTTAACAAAAGATTTTCAAATTGATAAAGTTCTAATCATAAGAAAGGTTTCTGAGAAATTGGACTGACAAATCAATTGATTTGACTAGCTACAAAATCATTCCTATAATTTACATACAGTATTTTTTCAGATGTCACAGTATCTTACAAAAAAGTAAGCAGAATCAAAAACTGCATAAGGATGAAACAAAACTCCTGAATATTAAAAATGATCCTGACACATAGTATCTCCACAGCTGTTTTTATGGCCATCTCTCTTTAGCTGAAATAGAAAAATAGATTTTTACAGACCCTGTGGAAGAGACCCACACTTCAAACAAGGTCTTTGCAGGAACAGATGGAAGAGTCGTTGCTTCAGGTATAAACACAATCCCAGACTGAGCAGAAAGAGGGTAAGGCTGATTGCCACGCCAAACTAGAAAATCATGGCACCACGGGAGGAACTTAGAGGTTTTAATTGTCTAATGAAACAAAATCCAATTGGTTATTACAGTCATGATCACTCCAGGGGAAGAACGGGGAGTTAATGACCAGTTGGGTTTAATAGCTACTCATATTTTTGTTGAGTCATGAAAATATCAGGAAATGCCTTCGACCTTGATTTTGTTTCTTTAGTTTCTCAGAAAGTGTCTTAAGACCATAATTTAATTAAGTGTCCAGACAACAAGGATTTCCTCAATCAACCAAGAAGGAAATTTCCCTTCACATTCCTCCCATCAGCGGGGAAAGAGATGCTTCTCCACTGCTAATAAAGTAGTCAGCTTAACTGTCTTTCAGTAAAATCTGTTCATTTCTTCCTTTTTAAAAGTATTTTTACTGTTTATTTACGAGTTCGAGCCTCCATTTTCTCTACTATTGTCTTTTTGAAACTGTAAAGAGGCACTGTAGAGAGCTATATAAAGTTTGGCTCCTGCTTCAGGCATTTTGCAGAATCCCAGAAGAGATGGAGTTGGAAGGGGCCTTTGCAAATCATATGATCCAGCTCCGCTGCTCAAGTAGCATCACCTAGAGCAGGTTGCCCTGTCAAAATGGCTTTTGAATATCTCCAGGGAATGAGGCTCCAACACTTCTCTGGGCAACCTGCTGCAGTGCTCAGTCATCCTTACAGTGAAGATATTTTTCCTCAGGTTCAGATGGAACTTGCTGTGTTTCAGTTTGTGTCTGTGCCTCTTGTCCTAACACTGGGCACCACTGAGAAGAGTCTGGCTCTTTAAACAACTCTATCAGGCATTTATACACATGGATAAGATCCCCCCTGAGCCTTCTCCACCCCTTGGAGGAGTAAATGCTAAGGCAATTCAGAGAGGTACCAAGTATATATTTCTGCCCTGGCGTTTTTTTCATAAAACAGGATCACTCCTCTAATTTTCAAACCTCATTCTATTCAATCTCTTGAGTTTCATTGTGGAATGCTGAAAAATACTCTAGCTTGTTAGTTTCTAGAGGAAACATTATTAAGTACTAATTTAATACCCTGAAACCAATTCAAGATTTAATTTTCACATTTCAAATGTCCCTTGTCAAGAACGAAGAATTCTCATTATTTTGGTAAAAGCGTAATGCTGAAAGTACAGATATCCAGCTTTTGCAAAGTAGCGTAACGTGTCGAACCCCCTTGGACAGAAAAGCAATTGCATAGTGTGTTGAATAACCCTTAACTCACATCAGGCCAGGAAATCTGGAAAAAGTGAGGCTGTTCAAAAAGAAGCAGAAACATCTAAAGCACCTGTGATATGAAATGATTCACTGCAGCTTCTTGGGCAGGCAACAGTACCACGTTCTGTAAATGGGGAATGAATCAAGTTCTGTTCCTTTGTGTTTATCCAAAACAACACTTAAACATAAAAATATTGTTCTCCAACAGATTTCAAGAAATGAGACTGAAGTGGTGTTCTTTTTTCTTTTTTTTTTTTTTTGTACACAAGTGCAAGAACATATAATTTAATCCAAGTGTTATTGATTCACAGTGTACTGCAGGTTATTAAAACTCTACAAGGTATGAGTATCCTGCTATTTTCTTTGCAGGCAATACGGAAGCTGATAGACGATTGTGTCTCAGTTCTGGACACGATAGCACCACATGTATATATACAGAGACAGCAAGAGGGAGTGCAAACCCTCTTCAATATAACAGCAGCTTCTAAATATACAGAGAGCTGTTAATCTTTAAGATTAGAAGAAATTGTTCTGATAAGAATTAGAAAGACTCTAATATATTTGGGCATATTTGGGCATATTTGTTTGTTCATTGTTCAAAGGAAAGCCAGAAGTGAGAGCAGAGTAACTTTTACCTGGCAGAAAAAATGTGAATAAATAAATAAATAAATAAATAAAAATTCATCACCATTGGAAAATACTGTCACAATACTTAACAGCAGTCATGAGATGAATCAGTGTTTCATAAAACATAGGCCAAATATCCAATAGTAGGTCAAGGAGTAAATAAAGCACTGCAAGTTATTTGCCATCTGATGAAGTCTGGTCTTCTCCAGAATTCTGTTTTCTGTTTCTTAACCTTTTCTATGCAATGTACCTGAACTATCTCTGTATCAACTATGATGGTCTCCAACCTGTAGAAGACATAAAAGTGCTCTGTCAAAACTGGAACTAGATGCCAAATAAAAAGTACAAAAATTCTGCCTTTCTTTCCTCAAGAGAGGCATTGATTTGTCTCTCTATTCCAATTATAGGAAGGTAATTAACTTTATCCCCACTAAAGAGGAATTTAGAGATATATGCATGGACAGACAGAGAGACAGGCCCAAGGACAGACAGGGTGACTGCATAAGATTTATTTCTTAATTAAGTTGGTATAATTACATTTAATCATTTAATAAAAGGATTAGCAAGAGAGACATTCTGCAGACCTGCCAAGATGCAGTTAAAAAATAGCTATATTTTTCAACGGGATCTGTAAAAGCTCAAAATATCCATTAACAGAATGAGATTCCCAAAACTTAGAGAGACCATTACAAATGTGAGAGTCTACACTTGCCATTGTGGAGCCTGCAGGGAAGAGCCTGAGCAAGACTTATCTTCATAAAGGTTGTAGTAAACTCAAATTAGTACTTTCTAGACACACAGTATGGAGAACACCAGGAGAGTGATTTTAAGGACTCTTCTGCGGATGTGAAGCAAAAGCAGGATAACAAAAGCAGTTTAATTAGAAGGGCCATATGTAGACCTACTTGACACAAGATAGGGTCAGAATAAAATTATTTTTGACATGCTGCTCAGAAAACAAGGCAATGGAAAAGTGCTTCCTCACGATGCCCAGTTCTCCCTGACAAGGTTTCTGTAAGTTGAAATAAAGGTAAAACTACCTCTCTCAGGATAAAAATTGAAGTAACAAGTGTCATAAAGGCAGTTATACCATTACTGATTGACATATTAAATCCTTAGCACTGCTATCACTGTGCCATAAAATCCCAAGGAGTCACTGTGGGATTGCACAGTGGGGATAGCATTTGAAGGCAATCTTTCTGAGAGCCTTCAGAAATTGCACAACATTGCTAGGAAGCTGATGACAGCACTTACTGAGATTTTCAAATTGACATATTCTAGTTTTAGAAATCTTCATACAATCTATATAAAATATTATGATAGTAGTGTAAAGAACCTTGACCATCTGTACTATTTTGAAGCATGGTCATGCTGGTTTACACACTC